CTTTGGAACACAAGATAGAATCTACAGTTGCTAATTGGGAACTTCAGTTAAAAAAGTGGAGTGATACAGAATACAGAGTTTCAAGGCAAAATTAATTCATCCTCTTTGACTCAATACTCTGTTGCATTTTCTTGTTTTCTTCAGAGTACTTAAGATTATCAGAAATGTTGAGCATACTTGTATGAGGCCTCTCTTTCTCCTGTATTCTCCTTAATATAAGAGCCTTTGCTCCTACATTAATTTTTGGTGGCACTAATGTATATTTGTGGAGTGAATTAATGAATGCATGAATGTATATTTAGTAGATTCTAGTGGGTCTGGGCTAGGTTACAACATTATGAGGGAAAGAAACTCAACATTATTCCTGTGCTACATCGTTCTGTAAAATATTATACACAGATGTAAGAATACTAAAATTTTATTGTTTTCTTCATATTTTTCAGAACGAAGCATTTTCATTTCTTAGCATATCATTGTCACAAGAAGGCCCGTTTTTGCTGATTTGCTTTTTCCCTTAGTTCCAGTTTTTTGAAGTTAAAATGTTCTTTTGTGTAAAAATATACTGGTTTTTAAAAATTGTGATGTTATCTGCATAATGATTTTTTCTAAAGGTACCATTGTTCTCTTGAGGTTTATTAGTATGCAGAGATGTTCAGACCTACTTAATTGTTGGTGCCAATTCACTGTGTGGAGTGCTTCTTTAAAAATTAATGATAGATACTTGCTGGTAAAATTATATTCCATATGACAAAAATCAAATCAGATTTTAGACTTATGCTGGTTTTTACTGTTTTTATTGTAGCAGTGAGGCATTGTTTTAAATAAAGGTGGGCAAAAGCTCTGTATTCTCCGTGTATTCCTCTTATAAACAGAGCATGTTCTCATTTGTGTCACAGTTTCATTTTGCCATCATCTTAAGTCCTTTCTCTCCTTAGGCCTTTGTGTTTGCTCTTCGTGCTACCTGAAATGTTTATCTCCAGCTTGCTTCAGTGATGTGGGATTTGAGCTTTAGAGTCACTCTTACCTGAGAAACCTTTCATGATATTCCATCTACATAGATCCTCCATTATTTTCTGTAATACCATTCTCTGTATTATATTATTTTCTCAGTGTATGTCGTAGATTTTAATTGCTTATTTGGTGGCTTATTATATGTCTCTTTACTAAAATATCAACCTCATGAGAGCAGAGACCTTGAAGATTGCTTAGTTACTGCTATTAAGTGCTCAGTAAATAGTTTCTCAGTGAATTATAGTAAATTAAATTTTATTCAGCCACCAAAGCTTTAAAAGATTGTGTTCATTTTCATTGAACGTATTCTGTGTACTGAGCACAGTGCAGTCTTAAGCTGATCCTTACAATGTACTGTGGTCCAATAAAATGATGCCCTTGAGGTCTTTATACTAAATGACCTCAGATTATAGCCCTTTTCGTATTTAACCCTTTTAAATATGTTTTAATCACGGCAGTATTATGTGCTCCTTATTAATAAAAAGAGCCTCAAGTGAACAACTACACTTTCTAGCCTTTGCGCTCATCTGCATGTATGGTTGGGCACAGGCAATCACTATTATTTCTTTGTATTTTCTTCCTCTGGTGACTTTTTTCTTCATATCTCTAAATGTTAGCCTTATAACAAAATTTTATAAAGCAAATGTAATCTTGATGTTTCTTGCTATAAAAGATAAGGATTTAATTCATCTCTCATTTCTTTCATCTCTCATTTTTATAGCTTTCTAGTTCTTTTATTATTGTAGCAGTAAGTAGCATCCTTCTGTTTCTTGTCCATGATCTATAGACGACCTCTCTTGATTCTCTAATTGGTCACATGAAGATTAGTAAGCACTAGTAAGCACCCCCCCCCCCCCCGCCTCTTCCCCTTCCTTTTTTACCTGTCAAATCCTGTTGACTGTCATCAAGAGTTGATAGCAATGGGACACCTGGGTGGCTAAGCGGTTTTGTTCCTGCTTTCAGTTCAGGGCGTGATCCTGGAGTCTGGGGATCGAGTCCCACATCGGGCTCCCTGCATGGGGCCTGCTTTTCCCTCTGCCTGTGTCTCTGCCTCTCTCTCTCTGTTTCTCATGAATAAATAAATAAAATCTTTAAAATAAAAGTTGATAGCATTTATATTCTGTATTCAAATTAATCTTTCTCATTTCCAATTAGCCAAAAGTATGATACATTTTAATTTTTGCATCTTGTTTAGAACTTTTATAGTCATTTTTCTTGTAGTTTTTCTGGTCCTAGTATGTTTTACATACTATGTATGGTCTTAGTGTCTTCCATCTTTTACTGATTCTAATGATTGCTTAGGATCTTTTTATTTTAAAGCCCAATTAAAGTTATGTTCTAATTTGGACTTTGTTGCTTCTTTGTTGGATCAGTTTTCTTATACATCTTATATCCTGTATACCTTAACCATAATTCTAGTCGCCCTTCTCCCTTTCTTAGATCTTTTCTCTTATACTCTCAGGTTTTCTCGTTTTTTTTTTTCATTCATATTCCCTTTCTATCAATTATATCTGAAAGTAAGTTCACATTCCTTACATTTCAGAGAATGTGTTTATTTCAAACTTAATTGTTTGGCTTGATACAGAATTCTACCTTGAAGTGGCATGCTCTCAAAACTCTGAAGGAATTGTTCTATTATCTGCCAGTATCTAGTGTTGGTAATTACTAATCCAATCCCAATCTCATCGTTTGTCATTGTTACATATTTTTTTTCCTCCAACCTTCTTTTTATCTATAACGATTGGAAATAACACAATATGTCTCGGTGTTGGTCTTTTCTTATATCTGTTACTTAGAACCTGGAAATTATTTTAAGAGTCTCCTTTAATTGTATTATGCTTCCAGAAATATTTCCTCCATTCTCTCTCTTGTCTTTCTGGGTCTCCTCTGAAAGTTGGAACTTTTGGATTTGATCTCTAGGTCCCTTTCTCCCTCTTTTTCCCCAATATAGTCCAGCTGTGCCTTTTTTATTCTGTGAATTTTGTTTAACACCATCTTCTAATATTGGCATTTAATTTGAACAATCATTTTAAATTTTAAGTGCTCTTTTACTTTCTTTGTTCTTTTTTTCTATGACATTTTTCTCTGTGTATGCGCAGGTACGTGTGTGAGAGTGACAGAGTGAGAGTGAGAGTGAGAGTGAGAGTGAGAGTGAGAGAGAGAGAGAGAGAGAGAGAAGAGTCTTGGAAGAAGCAGGCTGCCCTGGGCCCTGAGCATCCCTGCATGTTCTCCCTGGTTATGCCCAGAAGGCAGAGGCCTGACTGCTCTTTACCTGGGCAGTTTCTCAGGGGTGTGTGTCCAGTGAGAAGCCTTAAGGAATGAAGTAATGTATCCCACTGAACAAAGTACAGGCTGCTTTTTACTTGCTATAGAAATAGTAAGTGCTTCATGCTCGGCTTTCTCCTCCCGTAACACAGTTAACTGTGTGTGCTGGCATTCACGAAGGCCCCAAGTGTCACCCATTGGGCTTGGGGGCAAAGGAAACTGTTGTGAACAAACATGAAGTAATAAAGTCCTTTGTTCTGACCCAGCAGTCTCATCTTTTCTGCCAGCTTCCATGAAACAATAACATGGTAGCTTGTTACCTTGTATGTATAAGATAAAATCTCATACCCTGCACAGTTCTTGAGAAATTCCTCTGGCTTTTTCTGAGTATATAAAAGTTTCTTTTTAATGTTTTTATACTTCTTTGAATTATGTTTCTTCTGGAGTCTACTTTGTTTAGGATTTTTGTTTGACTTTTTAATTGTGTCAGGTTTTCCTCAGTCACATAGGTGATTTTTTTTTTTTTTTGATAGCCCAGTCACTTAGCAATAGAAAAGCTAACACTGGAACTGGTTGGGAGTGGGGCAAGAGTTTGGGTCTTCTATTCCAAATAAAGAAATTTAATTATGATTTCTGAGTACCATTTCTTATCTCCAGACTCTGCTGCTTCTTAATCCAGCCTTTTTCCTAACTCTTTTCTGCTCTGAAATCTCACTTTGTGATTGTACCTTCTTCTATCAAAATTTTTCCTCTAGCTTTCTGTTTTCCAGGTATTTCTTGAAATCTCTTTATCTTTTGCTGATTCTACTCCAAGTCTTTGTGTTATTATGAGATTATACATTTTTATCTCTTCCATTTTCAGGAGAGGGAGGAGATCAACTCCTTTCTCAATTATACAGAGGTAACACACTTTTTAAAGACATATTTTAATGATCACTTGTTGCTGCTTGTTTTTATAACTCTATTTACATCCTTCCTAGCAACGTCATGTCTCTGTTTCTACTCCAATCCTACACTTAAATATAAAGCTTTATTATCTGGAGAATCAACAAAATGTCCAATAGATATTAATTCAAAACAAGTAATAACGTTCATAGAGGTGGGCTTATTTGTGTCATTTGGTTTAGCTATCAGAGAAATTTTTGCTTATTTTTACTAATTACCTTAGTAATTATGAGTGTAAATGCATTTTTAGGTAAATGGCATATATAAAGATGCAGTATGACTTTGTTTACAATTTTAAAAATTGCTATTATTTTTTTCCCTCTGCTAAACTGAATTGCCCATATTCTTAAAAATTGCTTTCTGTCCTTTACCAAAAATCATTGGAAGATTTAAATAATATATATAGGGGATGCCACAAACCTCTACTAGAGTAAGAGTTGTCGATTATTTAAAGGGCCATGCCAGACTTTTGGGCCACATACTTCCTGTTACAATTACTCAACTCTGCCCTTAAATAGCACAATATCAGTCCCAGCAATATAAACGAATCAGTGTGGCTGTGGCACAGTAAGCCTTTATGAACAACAAAATATGAATCTTATATAATTTTCACATGTGATGTATGCAAATTTTTTACAACCATGTGAAAATATAAAATCAGTGCTCGCAATCTGTACAGAAATTAGCTAACCCTCATGTTAGAATTACTGGTTTTATTAGCAGCTTTGTTAATGCCTGAGTACTGATATGTTTTTACTCTGCCCCATTCTCCTTATCAGGCAAGCTAATGAAGAGTATCAAATACTGGCTAACTCCTGGCGCTATTCATCTGCCTTCTGCAACAAACTCTTCTTCAGTATGGTGGACTATGATGAGGGAACAGATGTTTTTCAACAGGTAAAAGAGTTACATCCTATTTTGCTAATATATTTAATAAATTTGGTTATAGTGGATACATTTAGTTGAATACAAATACAATTCATTGAATAAGAAACACAAAATAGTTATAATAAATTCTGTGATGTGATTGAAATGATTTTAGCCAATGTTATCTTTACATTGCATAGTCTGTGCTGTTAGTATGGTAGACATATTTTAACTTTTACATCATAGAGGAAATACATTTTTTTCAAGCATATAGTGGTAGTTTACATGGATTGTCCTTAGTTCAATATTTAACTGTATTGAGTTTAGGTGGGATTTTGTACAAATTTATGAAATTTTATGTAAATTCAGTGTAAGTTTTACTTAACCCTCACTTCTTCCAATGTGACAGATATAAAGTATTAAGTATTTATTTAAAAGTGTTCTCTGTTACGGATTGAATTGTGTCCCTTTCAAACTCATATGTTGGAGCCATAACCTCAAAATGACTGTATTTGGAGATGCTGTATGGAGATAATTAAGGTTAAATGAGATTATAAAATGAGACCCTAATCCAATAGGACTGGTATCTTTATAAAAGGGGCACATAAGGACATCATATAAAGATAGCTATGTACAAATCAGTAAAAGAGGTCTCATCAGAGACCAGTTCTCCCGGCATCTTAATCTTGGACTTCCGGCCTCCAGAACTGTGCAAAAACAAATGTTTATTTTTTAAGCTACCTAGGCTGTATTCTGTTACAGCAACTCAAACAGACTAACACATTCTCATTTATTTACATAGTCTTGTCTGTAGAGCAAGATAATGAATTGTGGCATAAGGATGCTAGTTGTCATCAATTTTGTCATGGGTTGTGTCATCATCATTGCTACTATTAAGTGCACATGATCCAAGCACTCTTCGAAGAACTTAATGTATACGCTTTCATTTAGTTTTACAACAATCCAGTGAGAAAAATAATGTGATCTTCATTTCACAAATAAGGAAATTAAGGTTTGAAGAGGTTACTTTTCTAAGTTTACAAAGTTAGTGTAATGCAGTGCTAGAGTTTGAGCTCAGCAATCTGTCTCCCAGAGTTGTTGTTCTTATACTGTTACCCTACAGTGACTAATATTTTGTATTTATCACTACATGATTGGTGCCTTTCAAATGTAAAACTTATTGTAGTACCTGGCATTGATTATTTTGGTCTATTTTATTTTTCTTACATGTGACATTCTTTGGCATAATACTTTACTAGACCATTGAAAAGCATTTAATTCTGTAAAGAATTTAGCTCATTAATTATAAATGGGCCATTAGTAAGTATTTTTGCTTACTTGTTTCCAGATCAATTATTCATTCCTCTTTGCCAGTTTCTAGTTAAATAAGAGAAACTTTTTTTTTTTTTTGCTTTCAATATCCTTTATTCTTGGTCTTTCCTGTTAGTGTTCTTCACTTATTTCTTCCCCTAGAACTTTATTTTGCCTTTTGAGATGTTTCTTTTTGTTCACCTGTTCACCAATGTTATTGACTGTCTATACTCTGTAGGTGCAATGGCTCATGAGAAAGACATACATAATTCTGCCCAGAAAGAACTTACAGATCAGGGAGCTGATAGTAATAACATCATAATAATAAAAAACACATATACATTTGTACAGATTTTCCTCAACTTACATTGGGGTTATATCCTGATAAAGCCACTGTAAGTTGAAATATTGAAAGTCAAAATGCATTTAATACACCTACCTACTGAATATCATAGTTTAGCTTACTACACCTCAGTGTGCTCAGAATACTTAAAATAGTCTACAGTTGGACACAATCATCTAACACAAAGCCTGTTTCATATTAAAATACTGAGTATCTTTGTAATTTATTGAATATGGTAGTGAAAGTGAAAAACAGAATGTTTGTATGGGTACAGAATGGTTGTCAGTGTAGCAGTTGTTTACCCTCATAATTGCATGGTTGACTGAGAGCAGTGGCTCAGGCCCTTAGCCAGCATCATGAGAGAGTATTGTACTGTGTATCACTAGCACATGAAAAGATCCGCGTTCAAAATTTGAAGTATAGTTTCTGATGAATGTGTATTACTTTGGCACCATTGTATAGTTGGAAAATTGTAAGTTGAACTATCATAAGTCAGGGACTATCTGTAATTTCAGATGTTACAAAGAAAAATTACAGTACTATAAGAACCAAATATTATTTTAAGTAATTTATAGGTCTCCATGGAATCTCAGGAGAATTGACCTTAGTGATTATCAGGTGAAATGTTATTCCTTATATACTTGAATCCTCTCTGCCATATTAGGAAATGGTTATCCAGGTCCAGTCTTCTAGAGCAGAGGCTTCAAGCCCAAATATCTATCCTGGCCAGATTTGTAAACCAAATAAAAGAGCAGATTGGATTCACTTAGTTGCATTATGGTACATTCTTAACATATTAAACACATTATTAGTTCTTCACTTGCATAATTACATATCTTCTCTCCTATTTTATTAAAGTCTTTCTGAGTCTTTTTTTTAATAAATCTTTAATGGAAATACTGCTATTTCATTTTTCTTCTAACTACTGTAAGAAATAAAATCAGCAAAGCACTATGGAGCTGACTGTGGTCTCATTGTTGAGGAAACCGTATGGTGTGGATGAGGACTGCAGCAAGCTGGAACAGACAGACTTGACCTCAGAGGGCTATAGCTTGTTCCAGCTATGGTTAGCAAATGCAGGCCAAATGCATTTAGCTAGACCTGTTTTTTCAGGAGGAAATCCAAATATGAATTTTTATATGAAATTTTTCTATCTTAAAAATTTGGGCAACTAATTCAAACTTTGTGTGCTGACTACTGACTATATAGGCTGCCAGTGTATAGCCATGTAGATATATCGTTAACTATAATCTTTGAATTCTTTTGTATGCGTTATACATAAGTTTATTTTTTTAAGTTTGACATGGATATGAAAGTTGACATGAAGATTTTTTTTTTTTTTGAAGATTGTTTTTAGTTGAAAAATTTCCTCAGGTTAATTTAGATTCAGCAGAATTCTGAATATAGAACTGCTTTGTCTTTTCTAAAACCTAGCCCCTGGCTTAGCAATAAGAGTTACTTTTTTTTTAAATTTTTATTTATTTATGATAGTCACAGAGAGAGAGAGAGGCAGAGACACAGGCAGAGGGAGAAGCAGGCTCCATGCACCGGAAGCCCGATGTGGGATTCGATCCCGGGTCTCCGGGATCGCGCCCTGGGCCAAAGGCAGGCGCCAAACCACTGCGCCACCCAGGGATCCTAAGAGTTACTTTAAAATGCATAAAAGTTGTAGCAGTTAGTGGTTTTTATGGGGAATTATAATGTACAAAAGTAGGGAAGTACATGTTTTATTGAGAACTACTAAAAGATTTTTAATGCTGTGTTTCTTTTCTAACTATTGAACCACATTTTGTTGAACTGCTCTTTCTAAACTGACATTTTAAAACATTGTGCTTTCTGAAGATAATATGAATTCTTAAACTTGATGACTCTTGACTTATTGGGGACTTGTGGGGAAAATAATTTCAATTATATGTGATTTCCATGTAATGGTTGAAGCTAAGCGAATGATGACAGACCAACCAGTTAATGATGGTAGTGTGCTAGAAGCAGGTCTGGACTAGCAGCAAGATCTGTATTGTACCATGCTTTGTGTGGCCTTGAGGAATTTGTGCATTTTAATTAAGGCACAAGCTTCGAATTATAGGATTTCTTTTTTAACTCTAAAATTTTTAGGTATTAAACCTTATTAGGAATTTTCTGATCTAATGCAGAGACTTTTTACTTGTAATATGTTATTTACATGTTGGCTATAGCTATTTCTTCTGCACCCATCATGGAAACATACATGAACAAAGTCTGGAGTAGGCAAAACCACAGAGAAGAAAGTAGCTGGTGACCATGTGTTTCATTATCTTTAATCAGCCTTGCTGTTGTCCATAACATGCAAGCCCACTGTGGGTACTGCTGTATCTTTACTTTGATGTCAACTGCAATGACAATTTTTGCTTTGATTTTGCTTTACCATTCTCAGTATTGGGAAATGCAGAGCCACGTTGCAAGGCAAGGCCAAAAATCTGTTGGCCTTTATTTGAGACAGTTTTCATAATGCCTGGGCAGCAAGAATTTAATTTATATAATTTTTGTAGTTTGCTACTGAATGCAAATTAACCTAACATTTGTTTTAGGTATTCTATTCTTGATAAGCACCATTTATCTTTTTTTAAAAAAGATTTTATTTATTTATTCATGAGAGACACAGAGATAGAGGCAGAGACATAGGCAGAGGAAGAAGCAGACTCCATGCAGGGAGCCCGATGTGGGACTTGATCCTGAGACTCCAAGATCACCTCCTGAGCCGAAGGCAGACGCTTAACCGCTGAGCCACCCAGGCGTCCCAAGGGCCATTTATCTTAAAGTAGCATTGTATTCAATATACTTCAAAAGGAATTACCTATAGAAAATAATTTTGAGATATAACCATCTTAAGACAGTTGAATCAACAGAGAAGTTGAACAGAAAAAGACATCATTGTGGATTTCTCCCATAGCCTGGTAAATGCAGGTTGCTTAGAATAGAAATCTTGGTTTCTGATATAATCATCATTTTTAACTTTTTAATAGAGAATTTAATAATCTGACATTAATTCTGTTATGCATTTATATTTTTCAACAAGTGCCAGTATTTTAATAACTGCTTAAGTGAAATAGTATGTTACATGTAAAGGTTCAGAGAACTTAGCCAAATTCACAAGTTCTCTTTCCATCAAAGAGCATGTTACAAAGAGCACTATAGTATGTAACAGTGAATGAATACAATGATTAAGCTCTGGAAAACCACTTGGACTTTCATAGTAAATGCTATATTTTGAAAATTCATGCAGGAAGAAAACCATAAAATTTTAGATTAGTGTTTTATAAAGATTGTGAGATATTATGTATTTTTTTATCTTATGTTTTACAGCTCAACATGAATTCTGCTCCTACGTTCATGCATTTTCCTCCAAAAGGCAGACCCAAGAGAGCTGATACTTTTGACCTTCAAAGAATTGGATTTGCTGCTGAACAACTAGCAAAGTGGATTGCTGACAGAACGGATGTTCATGTATGTTTTTATTCCCTATAGTGTTAATAATAGGCTAATTAGTTTGGTTTGTTATAGCACTGTAGTAAGGCCACAGGATTCTTAAAATTACTCTATAAAACGTTTTCCCTTACCTAGAGAAAACTGTCTGATAGCTGTAAGCTGAACTTTGACTGAGTTAGGTGAATTTAAATGGTTTTTAGAATAATGGTACATTGATATTTTAAGAACCATTAAAAAGTGCATGAGTTAGGCACAAAGTAATTTCAGAGGCTAAAATAGATATTGTTCAAAGGTATTAGTAAAGAAATTCTAATTAAAAAGATGTGTAATTTTTATTTAGCTTTTGGGCAAATAAAAATGATATAATACTTTTCATGAGCCATGTGAGAAAATACTCTCATATACTGCTCTTGGGACTGTGGAATAACTAATTCTAAGTGTGTGTAATGTAATTTAACCTTAACAATCAATTCTACTTTTAAAATTTAACCTAAGGATATAATTTGAATTACATTCAAATATGTAGCAATAGAAATATTTTTTAAATAACATTCATTGTAATGGGAAAAATGGAAATAAGTGAAATGTCTAAAAATAAAAAAAATGTCTAAAAACTACTTCAGTGTACTGTAACATAGGCAACAATGATCTGCAAGTATATTTGACATAGAAAGAAGCAAAGGAGTAGATTAGAAAAATAGTATTTATAGTATGATCTAGAATTTTGTTATGAAGCATAAATATGAGTGTAGATATGTGGACAGTTTATTCAGGAAGTAAACAAACCAGAATCTTGGTGGTAGTTAATGTCTATGTGGAGAGCTCAAGGCTGCTTTATTCCCTAATCTCACCAGAATTTTTTGTAGTGAACAATTATAACCAGGAATTTTAAAGTACATTTGTTCTAGAATATATAATTTTACCATAAGGTGTAAACACATTTATTCATGCATTTTCTTACTTTTCTGACATAATGTTTCAGGCTTATCTACCTAATCTGCGCTGTGTGGCACTCAATTACCCATCTTGGTTCCTTTTAGTGAGAAATATTAGAACCAAGATCTTTATATACTTTGAAATTGTGATTTCATACCAATGCCATCTAGTTTTAAAAAATAGCTTTTATATTTTAGTGGATACCATCAAGAAAATGAAAAAACAACCCATAGAAGGGGAGAAAATATATTTACAAATCATTTTTTGATAAAGAACTTATATCTAGTATGTATATAGAAATCTTATAAGTCAATAATAAAAGAAAAACCCAATTAAAAATGGACAAAGAATCTGAATAGACATTTCTTTAGGGAAAATGTACTAATACAGGTGGTTAATAAGTACATGAAAAGATGCTCAGCATCATTAATCATTAGGAATATGCAAATCAAACCTACAGTGAATTAGTATCCCATACCCATTACGTTGGCTGGAATCAATGAGTGAGACAATATATTGGCAAGGAAATGGAGAAATCAGAATTCTCATGTACTAGCAGTGGGAATGTAAAATGGTACAGCCATTTTGGAAAACATCCTGGCAATCCTGAAATCAAGAAACAGTGTTACTATATATGTAGCCCAGGAAGTCTACTCTTAGGTATATACCCATGATAAATGAGAACATGTGTCTGCACAAATACTTGTACAAGAATGTTTATAGCAGCATTATTCACAATAGCCACAAGGTATAAACAACCCAAATGCCTATTGACTGATAAACAGATATCAAATTGTGCTGTATCTATACAATGAAATGTTCAGGCATAAAAAAGAAATGAAGTGGAAACATGCTATAACAAGAAGGTTGACAACATCATGCTAAGTGGAAGAAGCCGGTTACAGAGGACCACATATTATATGAAAAGTTCAATAAAAGGGAAATCTGTCCAGTTAGAGTAGATTCATGGCTGTTTAGGGTTGGAGGGTGAGGGGTTTAAGAGGGAGATTGCTGAAAGATTTCCTTTTGACATGATTGGAATGTTTTAATGCTGACTTTGGTGATGGTTACACAACCCTTTGGATATGATAAAAACCATTGAATTGTATACCAGGTGAATTTTCAGTTGGTGTGCATGTTATGTCAGTAAAGATGTTTAAAAAATGTTGAAATGTTAAAGATGTTAAAATGTCCCAATTTGAAATAATATATCCCTAACTCATCCCCCTATACTAGACGATCCCATGTTTTATAGGTGAAACACAGCATTTCTGGATTAAATATAAGTTATGGGGATGCCTGAGTGGCTCGTGGTTGAGTGTCTCCCTTCAGCTCAGGTTGTGATCCTGGGGTCCTGGGGTCGTGTTCACTGGACCCCAATGACATGCTAGGTAATACAGTAATTAGAGAACTAGACATAGTTCCTGCAGGGGATGGGGGGGGGGAACAGTTCATTAGATGCCAGTAAAACAAAACACAGGATTATGGGCTCCAGGAGTAGCAACAAGAGCGAATATTTGCATTTCCATTCCTAATTTCAGTTGACTGTAAGGGCAGTCCCACATCGGGCTCCCTGCATGGAGGCTGCTTCTCCCTCTGCCTCTCTCTCTCTCTCTCTGCCTCTCTCTCTCTCTCTCTCTCTCTCTCTCTCTCTCTCTCTCTCTGTCTCTCATGAATAAATAAATAAAATCTTTAAAAAATAAATATAAGTTATATGTGTGTATGTTAACTGTTCACCTACAGCATAGCCATGATTTTGGAAGCCATTTGTTTTTGATTTGTAAAGAGCTAAAGCAGTGTTAGTTCCACAAATGAAAAAAGTAGAGTGGCAATTTTCTAGAGCTTTGGTATTAATAATTCGAAGGACTGGAATATGATCAAGAGGAAAAACACTTTTACTTTTATTCAACTCTTAAAATTTTCATTTTGTGTGTTTGCAGATTCGAGTCTTCAGACCACCCAACTATTCTGGCACCATTGCTTTGGCCCTGTTAGTGTCACTTGTTGGCGGTTTGCTCTACTTAAGAAGGAACAACTTGGAATTCATCTATAATAAGACTGGTTGGGCCATGGTATCTCTGGTATGTTATTATACTATACTTTTTTCACCTTATTTCTTTGTGAATAGTACAAGTTGTATGGTTGTTGATTTTCAACAAAGGTGTCAATTCAGTGAGAAAAGAATAGTGTTCAACAAATTGTGCTGGAACATACTTTTAGGTAAATAAATAATGAACCATAAAACTTGAGTGCACACCACATATAAAAATTACTCATGGTCCCATATGTAAAACTAAAATTATAAACCTTTCAGAAGAATACAGAATCTTTATAGCACAAACATTAATCATGGAAGAAAAAATAATAAATTGGACCTAATCAAGATTAAAATATTTACTCTTCAAAAGAATCCATAGACTCATAAAATAATTAGAAAATATATGGGTATGGGGCATATATCCAGAATATGTGAAGAGTTATTGCTACCTAGAAGATAGAAATTTTTTTTTTTTTTTAAATAGTCTATTTAGGGCAGCCTGGGTGGCTCTATGGGTTAGCGCCGCCCTCAGCCCAGGGCATGATCCTGGAGACCTGGGATCGAGTCCCACGTCAGACTCCCTGTGTGAAGCCCGCTTCTCCCTCTGCCTGTGTCTCTGCGTCTCTCTCTCTCTCTTTGTGTCTCTCATGAATGAATAAATAAAATCTTAAAAAAAATAGTCTGCTTATAGGTAAGATGGCATATATACATACTAATCTTTCTCTCCCACTGACAGAACTATAAATCTGGAGTCAGGAGCTGAGGACTCAGCTCCTCAGGTATTTGGTGTTTCTAAAAAGTCAAGGTCAGCAGGTAGATCAGATAATACCCACATTCAAGATGACATTTAATTAGTAAATAAAAAAATTTCAACCTTCTGTATCTATAGTATTGGTTTTCCTTAACTTGAATTTGGGCAGTTTGAAGCAGTCAGGTAGCTAGAAGATACTTTTAGTTCTGTTTCGAGACTAGAAGAGATTCTTGTGTTTTTTGTTTTTGTTTTTTTCTATTTTCTTTTACTGCAATCCTTGGGCAATACTGTGGCAGAACAGTGGAGGCAGGGAAACTGTAGGAGCCAAACTCTTTAAGACAGGAACTTTTCTCACCATGTCAAAATTTATAGAACTGTATGCCAAAAGGGTAAAAAGAAAAAAAAAGTCAATTTTACTGTTTAATAATTCAGAAAATAAATAGGCAAAAGATTTGAAGTGATGCCTGACTAAAGAGCATTAGAAAAAGGACAAAAAAGCCCATCAGTTGTTCAACATGCAAAGTTACATGGTAGTGAACCTAGATCTTCTGGCTTGGATGTTCTTGTGGTCCAATGAAAGCTTCTCTTCTATATACTGACATATATCCTGTAAGCCACTTAGGGCAAAGTGACAGGGCCCTGTTAAAGAAAATATTGAACTTAGAAGCCTCCGGTTTATGGTTGGTGATTGATTGATTGAGATACTCCTAGACAAAAATCCATGTTCTACACCATGGGGATAAATAAAGAGGTTATGGTCTTCCACTGCTGGCTATTCAGTAGCCATTCTTAATCTCCCCATAATTTGAGACTTTGCAAAGTGGTTAAGAGCTTGAAAAATATGAAAGGCCCTTGTGGGGTCTTCTATAGAGGCCAAGATATCAATGTTGTAAAATAAGGTATACATTGAAAGAAAGGAGAAGAGGCCTGGTTAAACATGTAGCAGAAATAAGTACCTTTTAGGGGAATTGCTGCATTGAGATCCTACACTGCTGAGGAAAACAATAGGCTGGTTTTGTATCCTGAATCTTTATTGCAATTGTTTAGTAATTCTAATAGGTTTTTAGGGCATTCCAGGGATTTCTGTATATAAGATCATATCATCTACAATTTTACTTTTCCCTATCTGATTTGGATGCCTGTTATTTCTTTTTCTTGCCCAGTTGCTTTGGCTAGGCCTTCCATTATAATGTTGAACAGGAATGATGTCTTGTTCCTGATCTGAGAGACCTCCCAGCCTATCATGATTGAGTATGGTGTTACCTGTGGGCTTGTCAAATGGGTTTTTACTATGTTGAGCTACATTTCTTCTATATCCAATTTATTGAGAGTTTTTCTCATGGAAGGAAATTGAATTTTGTGAAACGCTTTTTCTGTATTTATAGAGATGATTATATATGATTGATTTTCATCTTTCATCCTATTACTGTAGTGTATCACATATATTGATTTATCTTTATTGAACCCTCTTTGCATACCAGGAATAAATCCCTCTTAAACATGGTGCATAATCTTTTGAATATGCCGTTGAATTTTGAGAATTTTTACATTTGTATTTATTCATCAAGAATATTTATCTGTAGTTTTCTTCTAGTGTCCTTATCAGGACTATCAGGACACTTGGTATCCAGGTAATGCTGGCATCATAAAATGAGTTCGGGAGAATTTGAGAAAGATTGATATTCTTTAAATTTTTGGTGGACTTCACTAGGGAAACCGTCTGGTCCTGGGCTTTCCTTTTTTGGGAGATTTTCTTCCTGATTCAATCTTCTTACTTGTTACTGGTTTGCTCCAATTTTCTATTTCTTCATGATTCAATCTTAGTAGGAAATCCTAGTATTTCTAGGAATTGTCCTCTTTCTTTTCGGCTATCAAATTTCTTATTGTATACTTGTTAATAGTAGTCTCATAATCATTTGTATTTCTGTGGTATGAGTTGTAATTTCCTTTTTGCTTCTCATTTTATCCATTTGAGTTTTTTCTCATTCTAGATAATGGTTTGTCAATTTTATCTTTTTAAGAAACCTTTTCTTTGTTTCATTGATCTTTTCTGTGACTTTTCCAGTTTTTAATTCTGCTCTAATCTTTGTTGTTTCCTTCCTTTTGCAAATTTTTGGCTTCTTTTTTTTTTTTCTACTTCCTTGAAATACAAAATTAGATTATTTCAGATATTCTTTTTTTCTTAATAGAAGCATTTATTACAGAAAGTTACCTGTTAGTACTACTTTTGTTTCATCTGGTAAGTTTTAGTATATTATTTCCATTTCTTTTGTTTCACAATATTTTATTTCTTCTTTAATTTATTGGTTGTTTGGGAATGTGTTCTCTAGCATATTTATGAGTTTTCTAGTTTCCTGCCATTGCATTTGAAGAGATACCTGGTATAATTTCAATCATAAATGAGCTAAGACTTGTTTTGTGACCCAAAATATGATCTGTCCCATAGAATGTTCATTGTACACTTAAGAGTGTATTTTGGGGGATCCCTGGATGGCTCAGCAGTTTAGCGCCTGCCTTTGGCCCAGGGCGCGATCCTGGAGTCCTGGGATCGAGTCCCACGTCAGGCTCCCAGCATAGAACCTGCTTCTCCCTCCCCCTGTGTCTCTGCCTCTCTCTCTCTCTGTGTCTATCATGAATAAATAAATCTTTTTAAAAAATGTATTTTGTTGCTTTTGAATGGAGTGTTCACTGTATGTTAGGTCTACTGAACTAAAGCATAATTCAAGCCCACTATTTTCTTATTGATTGTCTGGATGAGTTATCTATTGTTGAAATTGGGGTATTGAAGTCCTTAATTACTATATTGCTGAGTTTTTTCTACCTTCAGATATGTTAGTGTTATCTTAATATATAAAGGTGCTGTGATATAGTCATATATATTTACAACTGTTATATATTTTGGATGAATTGACTTATGTATCAATATATAAAAACCCTTTTTATCTCTTGACCAATTTTACTTCAAGTCTGTTTTTTTCTGATGTGTACATAGCTACCCTTTTCTCTATCTTCTTTCCATTTCTGTGGGATATCTTTTCCCACACTTCTCTTTGAAATTATTTGTCTCCTTGAAGCTGAAATGTCTGTAGTTAAGTCTTTTTATCCATTTATCCACTCTGTACCTTTTGAATGGATAATTTTTTTTTTAATAAATTAATTTTTATTGGTGTTCAATTTACCAACATACAGAATAACACCCAGTGCTCATCCCGTCAAGTGTACCCCTCAGTGCCCGTCACCCATTCACCCCCACCCCCCACCCTCCTCCCCCTCCACCACCCCTAGTTCATTTCCCAGAGTTAGAAGTCTTTATGTTCTGTCTCCCTTTCTGATATTTCTCACACATTTCTTCTCCCTTCCCTTATATTCCCTTTCGCTATTATTCATATTCCCCAAATGAATGAGAACATACACTGTTTGTCCTTCTCCGGTTACTGTGGCCAAGTTCAAAAAGGGTGTTGCCTGAGTTCTTCTCTGGGATTTTGATGGAATCTTGTCTCACATTTAGATCTTTCATCTATTTTGAGTTTATCTTTGTGTATGGTGCAAGAGAGTGGTCCAGTTTCATTCTTCTGCATGTGGATGTCCAATTTTCCCAGCACCATTTATGGAAGAGACTGTCTTCCAGTGGATCGTCTTTCCTCCTTTATCGTATATTAGTTGAGCATAAAGTTCAGGGTCCACTTCTGGGTTCTCTGTTCTGTTCCATTGATCTATATGTCTGTTTTTGTGCCAGTACCACACTGTCTTGATGAACACAGCTTTGTAGTACAACCTGAAATCTGGCATTGTGATGCCCCCAGATATGGTTTTCTTTCTTTAAAATTCCCCTGGCTGTTTGGGGTCTTTCTGATTCCACACAAATCTTAAAATAACTTGTTCTAAGTCTCTGAAGAAAGTCCATGGTATTTTGATAGGGATTGCATTAAACGTGTAAATTGCCCTGGGTAACATTGACATTTTCACAATATTAATTCTGCCAATCCATGAGCATGGAATATTTTTCCATCTCTTTGTGTCTTCCTCAATTTCTTTCAGAAGTGTTCTGTAGTTTTTAGGGTATATTTTGAGAACCATTTGAATGGTAAATGGTTCTCCAACCTTTTATTTTCAGGTTGTAGGTGTCCTTCTGTCTAAAATGAGTCTCTTGTAGACAGCAAATAGATGGGTCCTGTTTTTTTATCCAGTCTGAAACTCTGCGCCTTTTGATGGGGTCATTAAGCCCATTCACGTTCAGAGTTACTTGAACTTCTTCTTAAAGGGGAGTTTTAAGAGTCCCCCTTAAAATTTCT